CCGAAATCAAAATGGGAAATAAGCCATAAAAAGCAAATCCAGCAGGCCTTGGCCCTGGTGAATCATCATCATCATCGTCGTCGTCTACCTCGTCCTCGTCCAGAATTTCTCCAGACGCAATTTTCGGCAACCTTCAAGGACGCCGGGACTAATCAGGAAGCTCCCGCCCCCTTTTCTCCCCTCCTCTCGCGAAAGTGATAATCAAAATAAACAGGACTCAAGGTGGCAAATGTTAGGGGGCTCTGGGTGCGCCAACCTTGAAATGTTTTGCCTACGAAAATCGATTTCACTTCCTGGGGGCTGGTTGTCCTCGAAAAAAGGGTTGTCCTTGGGCTGGCAGTAATTAGAGCTTTATTTTGGAACAGGTCAAGGTTGTCGCCGGGAATTAGGTATTCCACTCTCACCTTTGGGAAGCTCTAAATATTCGAGTGAGCTCAGGTTGAATGAACATGAGGCACTGTGAGTCCCACAACTTTCAAAATGTTTACAAAATTTAAAAGGCTTTAGAAAATTATTATCAGGGGGGATAAAAATTGATAGAACCTTATCTTTTTATTAAAAGAAATATTGTAGCTACACAAACCTTACCTCTTAATTGAAAGAATGTGTTCATAGGGTTTCTATACTATTTTCATCACATATGAATACATTAATAATCTTTTTGTTGAGAATTCTTTAAACAAAACCAATTCAGTTCTACCCAATTAACTATTATATGATTTCGATTTTCATTTATAAGAATTATTAGGTATATTTCTAAAGGTTGATTAGGTCTAGCAGACCATTTCCTGATATTTAAATATTTTACAATATCCAGAAGTGATATAATTCGATTAGACTTGTGCAGGCTTAACATAGGGGATTTCCCCTCACATTTAGTTTAAGAAAACTAAGCTGAAATTTCACTGCTTTTCCCCCAGTGTCCACCAAAAGTGGAGCTGTTGAAAGGTTTATAATACATCAGCCTCGACGAAGGGTTGCCAAAAGTCTGGCGCACACATAAACCAAACTTTTTATGGCTCATTAGGAGGGGTAGGAAATGTCGAGCAGTTGTTGTTGTTGCTGTGGTTATTCTCCGGGGGCTCTGGCTTCCCCAAAATTGTGTCATAAAAAGCGAACCCTCCCCGCTGATTTTCTCCATGCTGTGGGATCCTACCACAAAGCCAATTGGCCTAGGTCAGTGCTCGGTTTTTGGCCCATTTGTGTGTGCGTGTGGCCTCTCTGCGGTTAACTCAAATTCGAAATGGGGGCTACCTGTTGCTCGGCTCCCGTTGTTACGAAAACCCCAGGACCATTGCCTCACCTTCCCTTGGCCAAGTTAACAAGTGAACCACCGGCGGGCCTTTAGAGCAGCTCATTATGGCATCGCAGCAGCTGCCACCTGCCTTCTTTTTAATAAAAACTAATAGCCCCAATTAAGCCAACATGCGTTTTGTGCTCTTGCATTGTTGGCGCTAATAAAGTCAAAAGGAAAACAACAAGGAAAAAAAACACGCTGCAGTTAATGGAAAAAAGCGAGGCAGGAACCTTTCAACAGGAAGCTACGAAAAAATTGATTTAAGGAAGGTATCGTTCCGAGGCTCATAAACTGTCATCGATTTTTTTTGGCGAGGAAATGATGAAGCTTTTTCAACACAGGACCTTATGCATGTCTGCCGGTTTTTTCTTTTTCGTCCTTTTGTGTGCTTTCTGGGTTGCCTACTTTTGGCCCTATTTTTATAGGTCGTTGGCCTTGTTTTTCCGGCTTTTTTTGGGGCTTCTTAAATTTGATTGCTTGTGTGGGTATATTTTTCCTCCGCTTTTGTGGGAAGTTTTTGTAGCTTGAATTAGGAGGATTTCATTGACTTGATGAGTGTATTCATGGCGTGGTTTAGAGTGTTTATTTTATTAGCATATTTGGCGACATTATTGTGTGGAACAATTATGTTTTGTGTTATTCTTTTTACTTAATTTTACTAATAACTTTCTTGATTTTAAGAAAAAGGTACAAATATCAATACTATTTGGTTGACGAAACGCTTTAAGAAAACACACGCCATAGCCCTTTTCAAGTTTCTTAAAAAATCAATAACTGATTGGTTTAATTATTTCACACGCAATTATATCAAAAAACATTACGCAAAATAATATAATACTCAATTACAGCTACCAGCATAAATTGAATTACTCATAACCCGTATAATACATTTGTGAAACTGATGATAAGTAAAATCGTTCCGTACCTTCTTAAAACAATCCCCTTAACAATTAACTCATTTATCAAACAAAAACCTTAAGTACCAACAAGATCGAAGATATCTTAAGCCGAACTGATTTACAATTGAAAAACCTCTTCACATTCGCTCTCGAAATATTTCCTCCTATTGAAAACTCAACAAACTTATTCGAACCGAGCACAACTGTACCAACTTCACTCACTGCGTAACATTGTCGTATCGGTTTCAGCCGAAAACACCTCAAGAACTCCCGAAGGCTGCGACTAAATTTAGACGCCACCGAAAGCAACCCCAACTCGCAGTAATCCCAGATCCCAGACTTCCCAGTCCCCAGTCCCAGTGACATCGTCTCCATCTTCCAATTCCCATCTTTTCATCATCGGGGGGCTGCCATGCTGGCACGCTCTCAACTGCGACTGCAAATGCAACTGTGTGACTCCTACTTCGGCTCTGCATTAAAATAATTGCTTCCGAAATGACAACTGCTGCTAAAATTGAAAAGTGCCCTGTACGCAGACGCATTTCGTTCCCAGTTCCCCGATTCCCCGATCCCCCGGTTCCCTGATCTGATCGCCCCCAAAAGGTTGACGTTCTTGCAACATGTGTGCGCGCCTGCGCGTGCCAACAATGTAAATGCAGCCTGGCGATGGAGATGGCAATGGGATGGTGCACAAATGGATTGGGGTTGATTTGGGGGGAGCTACTCGCACTGAGAAAAAATTCAAGACCACAATTCAATGGGATGAAAAAATATATTTAGTCTTATAACATAAATATCCATCAATATGCTAAAGATAATGATAAATTTTCAAAATTTTTCCAAATAATGCATTTGTGATATATTTTTATAAAAAATATTAGTAATTCATTTTAAATTCCAAAATTCTTGCCATGAAATTTTTCATAGTTCTTTTAGATCCACTTGGAGATCGCTCTGTATATTTATACTCCAAAATCGAGAGTTAGTCCTGGAATTTTTTTCCAGTGTCTTTGATGGCGTCGCTTATTTACCGTTAAGACGCAGCGGCTGTCAATCAGCCGCCGAAAAGAGTCAGACAAGGGCATTCCAGAGGCACTCCTGCGAAGCTGTCTGGATCCGATCTGGATCCATATGTCGCCTCCTCCATTCCCCCTTCGAACTCCTCGATCTATTTTTGTAAAACTGTGGAGCTGGGCACGCCTGCGCACACACACACATAATTTCCATTTTCAATTTTAGTTTTCCAACTTTACCGTTGAATTCTCCGCTTTCCCAGCACTTTGCCTAATGGTTCTTCTGAGACCCGATCGCGTCTCAGGCTCTTCATTTCCACGGCTCTGATATTTATGGGCCTGCGCCGGAAATAGACTCGGAATTTGTTCCAACAGGCGGTTTGCATTTGCAGCCTTCTTCATGCTTATTGGAATTATCTATGGCTTCGTTTCTAATATCCATGTGTTCATTTTACATTGAAGTAATTTAATATGGCAGCCAGTTCCTTCTGAGGTTAAAGGTCATTATTCAACTGCACAGTTTTTGAGCCTGTGGGAGCAGAAAATTAAATGTTGGGGAAGAACTATGGGGATCAGGATGGGTAGTTCCTGTTTTGTGCTTCAAGGGAAATAGGATTAAGATTTATGGGACTTTATGTATCAGCTAAATTCACTGTAATAAATAGTTCCAAAATTTATTATCCTTGAAGATATAAAGTATGTATGTACATGAATAGGATTAGAGTATTAAGATTTTGCTGGGCCGGAAATACTTAAGAATCAAAAGGTCCATAACTAAAGAATACTAATTTTAAGAATTAAATAATCCCACTACTTCAAGGTTAGAAAAATGTGAGTTTTTCTTTCATTTCCGAAACGGGGGAACAGCATTACAATGCCAATTATAAGAAAACACTTTAAAAACGGAACTCAGAAAATATCATCAACCATTGACCAGCATAATGTTCGTCATTGTCTTATCTAAGTGTAAAAAGGGACCACATTTGCGTTCCAAGTTGGTGACACTTAACAGATAACTGCAATCAGCAGTTACCAATCTTTTCCAGTTCGGAAAAACCAGTTCCGGCAGATCCTTGAATTGAAATTTCGCGGCTTTTCCCTATTTTCTGGGTTTTCCGACGTCGCCCCCTAATGTCAGACCCCTCAAAAGTTGCGCCACGCTCCCCCGCATACGCCTCCAATCTGGGATCCGCGAAAAGTGCATTGGAGCAGCTCCCAAGTCTCACAACTAAAATCAGACCTTCACGACTCCCACAACTCGTATAATTTTACTTATATTATACATTTTACTCATACTCGCATTTCTACATGATGCTTAGTGCACAATTTGACCGCCAGATGGAGGGTAATTTTCAAATTTTACTTCAGGTTGGCGTCTGAATATTTCGACACATGTCAAATGTAAAATATCATAGGTATCATAGATATCATATGTAAGGAGTAGAATGTCCTTTTTATTTCAGGGGTTTTCAGACACTTTTCCTTTTTGGCAATTTCCGGGAAACGGGAAATTACTTTTAAAAAGGACGATCTGGCAACTCCAAGTCCTGACAACACTGGCTCAACAAATTTTTGTATTCAATTTTGTTGGGAGGGTAATTTAGATTTGTAGTAAAAGTAAGGAAGTGAAATAATTTAAAATATGAGAAGTTAAACTATGAATCTTTAAGTAAAAAATTAAATATAAATACATTTTCAGAGATTTTATTTTAGTAATAGTTCCTTTAACAGATTATATATTCTCAGTAATAGTTACACCTTAATAAAAACAAATCTCTCTCATATTTCCAGATCGTCTTCGGAGCCGATGGTCAGCCCGTTCGACCCGATTCGAAACGCGGCCGGGGCAAAGGAAAGTCCGCTGGTTCCGGCAACGGATCGGTTAACGCCACAGGTATCGCCGCCGGCAATGGAACACCAACAACTGGGGTAAGTGACGTCAACCTGCGTTTATTGCTCAGCCAAAAAAACCCACCTCTCCGCATTTTATTCATGGGAACTAATTAAGTCACGCGACGACTCTGCCAGACAGACTGTCTGCGGTCGAGGGATTGCCCAGGCCCAGGCCCCAAACTCCAAAGCCAGACCCGCAGCCACATCCACATCCACTTCCATGTCCAGACCCCGAAACCCCGAACCCCAGATTCCAGACACACAGACCCCTTCACGGACCACCAGTCTTTTTTCGCGGCATGCCGCAGCAACGTTTTCCACGTCATCACGCCCGACGCCACTTGCTTTGTTTGCACAGGCAAATGCACTGGCAAAAATTGTTGTTACTTTTGGGAAGTGCGGTATATGGTAAACTCTCAATTTTACTTAGAGGGAATTTCACCTTAAAACATGATATCTGTTAATAATGTAATATTATTGAGCTGCTTTCCTTTTCTTTTTATTTCTTGCTCAAAGTATATATTTTTAAGTAATAAGTAATTATACTTATATACTATATATAATTATTTTACATATAAGAAAGTGGCACAGAAATCTCTACAGGTTTCATTTAAAGCAAACATAGCTAGTTCGCTAAAGCATCTTAGAAATGATTTATTGTTTCTAAGCCAGAATATAAATGAAATAAGCTTTTGGAAAAGCCTTTATATTTGTATGTAAATATGAAAGAAATACTACATTATTCCCTGTGCAGTGCCGTCATAGCAACCAGAGCCGGTCGGCTTCCCCGAAAGGCAGTCCCTGTCCGAGACCCAGACCCAGACCCAGTGACAGACCCAGCCAAAGACATCCAGACATCCAGACATAATCTCCGCCGCAGGCAAGCGACCGCACGTAGCTGGGGGTCACCACCATAAAAACCTGCCAGTGGAAGTAGAATGAAAAAGTAACAGCCGAACGGGGGCAGACAAAGTTGTGCCGCCGTGTTGACTTGCTCAGAGGCCACTTGTGCTGCGGATTGTGGATGTGGATGTGGCAGCCACAAGCCGCACGTAGCAGCCAGATACCAGAAAGCAGAGACCAGAGGCAAAAGACCCAGAAGCCAAGAGCCCGCAGCCCAGAGGATGGCTACACAGCCACTTATTGTTGCCAGGGTGAGGGTCTCCCAATCCCAATCCCTTTTCCCATCGCCACATCCGCTGGGAACTGTCTGACTTTGCCGTTTGAGTCCCTGTCTTGGGGAAAAACCCAAAGGAAACCCGGGGAAACCCAGGGAAACCCGGGAAAACGCCACCGACTGCCAGTGACTTTGACCTTTGACGGGACGGATCGGCCGGGGATTTCCCTTTCAGCAGCACACGCAACAGTCCTCCATGTCGTTGTGAATTCAAGGTCGGGACCGTCGTAAAAACATGACACAAGCTAATACAGTGAATGAACGTTACTTGATACAGTGAGTGCCAGGCACAAGGGTCTCGAAGTTTGGCGACAGCGGAATTTGAATGTGGGATACCTTCGCTGGCATTCCCACAAAAATGGGAAGCAGGGGAGGAAAATACTTTAATAAAAAATGACATAGGAGAAACATGCTTATCTCTTTTAAGAAAGCTCTTAAATACTTCAAAATTATATCTTTTTAATTCCATAGATTCTGCTTTAAAAAATTGAGTTTCTTTAATATCAAATCAAAAGGTGCTACTAATTTTGCAATGATAAATACTTTATAGGCCCATGTTGAGAAAAAAATAAATATAATAAATTTATTTTTCCTTCTTTCTTTGTTTTGTAACAAGAAAAATATCTTATCTTCCTCATAAGACTGATTAATATTTAATTAGGCACAAAAAGCTCACTTACCTTCTTTCCCACTTTCAAAGGCTTGTGTTTCCGTGACGAATTTCATTCATGGTAAAGTCTCTTTCCACTCGCCGAGTTACCCCTGTACCTACTCGTCTATCCAGCTCATCACTCATGTCATTTTATGCGAAGTGGAGTGGAGTGGAGTACCCTTCCCAGGCCATCAGTCTAAGCCAGCGATTTGTTTGGCAAGTGGCAAGTGGCTTGTGGCAACATCTGCGTCTGGAGGCGACTCTCCTCCAATGGAGCGTTGATTATGTCGTCACAGCGACCCAGTCGTCTTCGAGACTCCCTGCGGTGTCGCCACACACACGCAGAAGCCCATAAAAAGGCAACCAGACTTCCTCATCCAGCTGAATCTGAATCTGAATCACGTGTGGCTCCGCTGGCCATAAAATCAGCTAGACGGCAACAGGTTGTCCTGGTCCTTGGATGAAATTTTCTGTAGTTTGGGTAACTTCGGAGGGGGGGGTTGAAACCACTAGAAATTTCCTCAAGTTTTGCGGCAGCTCTCTGTCTTTTCCTCTTGATTTTCCCCGTGCTGAGTGCAACACTTGCGAACTTTTCCTTTGGCCAATTTTCCAAACGGGGGAAAGTGAGTTGAAGTTTTCGGTGGCCCAGTGACACGGACACGGAAACAGAAACAAGGCTACTACTTCATTTTTTGCTGCTGTTGTTGTTGTTGCCACCAAAATTCAGGTCGCGGTGCATTTGCCAGGAAATTCTCCTGCCACTCCCACCTTTTCCACACGATGGGACACAAAAAAATGGAGTAGAGAGGCCGGCAAAGGCAAATCCATTGGCGGCACAAGGGGCATTGGGATTTGGCCAAGGACGAACCCGGCAAGCTGCAACATTTCCATGGTCAGGGGCATTGCACTCCTGGCCAAGAGCCCACCCCACAAAACTCCCCTGGCGGCACGCTTTGACGCCTGCAACGCGGACCTGGGCATCGCATCATGCACTGCAAAAAATAATGGATAGCTGAAAAAATCAATTTAAAAATATTTCATAAAGAAGATTATTTAGAAATCTATATCTCAAAGTTACTACAAAATTCGGATGCTTTTCTAGTTAAGCTTAAAGTAATTCAAGGTTTTTGTTTAACATTGCCATAGAAAGCTTTTTAACATTTGCAATTATTTATTGCGTCACTACAAAGTATGTGTTAAATAAAGCTTGCATTAATTTAAGGTTGATTGTCAAGCTCTACCTTTTTATATATTTTTCTAGACCTAAAAAAAAACATTTTAAAGCCTTTCTGATTAAAAAACAAAAATACAAATATCTTAACAATCTAATGATTTTTCCCTGTGCACCTTTTGGCCTTCGTGTTCATGTTTGCCTGCAGTTACCAACATTTTTGGCCAGGCAGTCAGCCAGTTAGCCATTGTTCAGTCCAGCCGGGTCGCGGATTGGGTCGCATTGGGCCGAAATGGAGCCGCGCCGAGTTGAGTCGGGTTTTGGCTTTGATGGCCTCGAATTGTGCGGCTCCACAGTCCACAGTTCAGGGTCGCCATGTCGACTGTGTCCTTTTGGCCAACGGCAGCATCAGCGACATCGACTTGTTGCACCTCCCACACTCTCTCCACTCCCCGTTTCACCAGGTCTTTATCCTTTCCCATCTGGCAGCGAATCTGCATATACATGGGCTCATGCGGAATGCGGCTGACTTTGTCATCCCGGCCAATGAGGACAACACTCTGCAGCAGGAAATGGGTTTCTATTGCAAACAAGTAATCCATTGATTGGCAAAAATGTAATCCATTGATTTGCAAAAATGTAATCCATTGATTTGCAAAAATGTAATCCATTGATTTGCAAAAATGTAATCCATTGAATGCAAAAATGTAATCCATTGATTTGCCTAAGTCATACGTTCTTTATAAACTGAAATTAATATATGTATGATTATTCGGCAACAAAATATTTGTATGTCCCATTAAAATCATATTAATATATATTTAAAATATTTTTTAAAAATCTTATTTTAAACGTGGCTAAGGTATACAAGATTATAGGCCTAAAAAAGTTTTCAAAAAAATATTTTAAAAAATCAAAGTAATCAAACAAATATTGTGGTACAATAATTACACAAAAAACTTACATTTTATACAATTTCTCTCCTAACATAACTTTGTTGACTGGTGCTCTGCACATTCGCATTGCATTTTTTCCGAAACTACACCTCTTTACCCCTTTACTCCTTTGCCCAACTCACAACCACCCACCATTCTTGTTGTGAGTGGTTTTTTTTTGTTTTTTATTCCAACGCGTTGGCGTTTTTCCAGCTGGGAATGGGGCCATCCAGCTACTGAACACCAAAGACCACCGTCCAGCGCCCCTGGCAATTAGTCAACACATGCCCGGCGATGCAATCAGCCTGTCACAATGTTTGGACATGGACATGGCATGCAATGAAGGTGGGGGGTTCTCGAGAGTAGAAGGCGAAGAGGGGCCACTTCAATTGGGAGCCGACTTGTGCACTTAACGTCTAATTAGGCGGCGCCTGCTGAAAAGCCGCTCAACGGGTTCCTGTTCCGAGGCGACTCCTCCAGTTGGCAATGTCAAAGCAAAGGCTTTTCAAGACTTTGGCCACACCTTGGCCATCACTCAAAAATAAAAAACAAAAACAAACAGAGAGCAGAAAACAAACAGAAGTTGCAGTCTGTGGGCCAGACATAATCGTAAATGCCAACATGTCGGCGCCAAGTTGGCTGGCATGGCTACCTCAGTGGCACAGTACCACCAACCGTGACAGCAGCAACATCTACGGCAGCAGCAGCAGCAGCAACATCGGAGCAACAGCAGCAACATGAAACACCAAGGGGACTCCTACGTGCGATGGCGATACAAGAGCTTACAAACAGCTCGTAAAAAACAGAAAAACAGACCCACGGCCCGTGGCATCAGCAGCAGGCGGCAGGCAGACAATTTGTCGTCCAACTGTCCGCATTGGAGGCACCGGCAACACCAGGAACAGCAGCAACACAAACAGCAACAGCAACAGCTAACCAGCAGCAGCACTTGCTGCACGAAGAGAAAATATAGACAAAATCACACAAAAATACGGGTTTAAATGTCCTTATAACCAATAAAATAATAATAATAAAATATACAAACATAAAATTTAAAACAAGTTGTAATTTGAATGTGAATCAATAAATAAAAAACTTGAA